CACAAAAGGGCGCTGGCACCCCCCAACTACATTTTCACCGGAAGGATTATTGAACAGCTATACTCAGCTCACATCGCTCTACTCGTTTTGGCGCTCTTCACAAATGTTGATTCTCAATCAGTATCGATTGATATAACAAAGTCAAAGCCTGATGTGATCTCAATCACCCTTTCCGATCTTTTGACTTTGACGCGTTTTTCCTTCATTTATTTTTTGCTCTAATCCCAGCTTGCTAATATTGACTAAATTTAAAATTGATGGTTATAGTAGTCAATTGGCGGGCCAGTATGCTTGCCGAGGGGTGGGACATCTGATTTTTTTGTGCCCCGTAGACACTTTGCTGCTCAATCTACAGCTCTAATACTCTGCAACAGAACTCCGCTCTAGGACTGGGGTTGTGCTCACAAAAGTGAATAGTATCTTACCAGTAATACAGAAATCTGATCATTGGGTTTCAATATTTCAGCATGGTACAATCGATGTCCTGGTACAATATCCGAATCGATATCGAGATCATGGAAGAGAGTGTGAATCGCTGTAGAGATATCTGTTTGGAATTTTGTCTGATTAGGCGAGGGGATGGGGTCCGGATTTTGATCCAATGCCTAAATTTTCTTGTTTGTAGTCATAAGAATCTGGTATTGAGGTAATAAGAAATGGAAACAGTAAATTGAAAAGAATCAGATAGGTAATAGAAAATCAGGTGTTCTGAATAAGCTCCCCTTATCCTTAGCTTAGTTTTCCCCATTTATACCCGAATAAGTAGGGCTTGTTTGAGAGAGGTAAAGATGTTCAGTATATACTTGGGGTAGAGCGAATGAATGCCAGCAGAGTTCCCAACGCGTTCCTCAGAAGCTAGTCGCCCAGGATTTTCCACAGCGAATGGGTGCGCTTCGTTCCCAACTGGGTCACGCCGTCCACGTCGCACGCGGCGCACCCACTGCGATTTCGGGGTTTCGGGATTTCCTTGAACCGTGTAAGGGTTTTGCGGTTTGAAATATTTTCCCACGCGCGCGGACGTTTGAATACACCATCGGTGCTGCACCGGTTTTTTGCGTTTCTGGTGGGGAATCTTCTGCAACAGGTCTTACTGCCTCATTTTCTGATGCATTTATTTTATACATGAATGAAAATTCGACTGCCTTGTTCTACTTCACTTTGCTTATTCTGCAAGCAGAACTCATCCAATCCCCAATGACGCGTTCTAAGTTGCATTCAAATGCCCGCGCACGTGTTCATTTCGTGGGCTGGACCGCGCGCGACGTGTGACCTTGTTTCACTGGCGATAGGATCGGACGTTCCGTCAGAGCGGGCACCCCACATTCGACGTATAAAAACAAGCTTTCTCGTAATGGTATGCAAGAAGAGAGCAGAAGTAGAGCAAAAGAATAAATTTTTTACTTTGGAAAAAGAGTGAGTAGGTGACTGGTGACAATAATGACATATTTATGATAATGATTCGTATTTCAATTCATATTTATGTCTTGATGGCTGAACTTTATATCCGAAACGGTACCTTGAGAAACTGCCATTCTTCCTCTGTGACATCTGGATTATCTCGAACAAATACGTGAGGAAGAAAGGATGGTAAATTATTTGGAACAACCACATGTATTGCGTTCAAAGAGCAGCATAACTTCATATAGCAAAGATATAAACCTCTGAAACATGAAATAAAAGGAAACGAAGAAATGGTCAAATGCTTAGTGTTTAACCTAGGATTTTCGCTGTTCGTGCCCTAGCACTCAACTTATTAGGGTGTGGGTTCTCTTTCCAAACGGGCGTGCCATGCTCGCCGCACCAGATCGCGCGTAGACGTTCCAAGCGGCAACTAGCTCATAAAACAGCCAATAGTGGCACGCGGCGAGACAACTAGTTACTCTCAACCAAAATTTGGCTCAGTATTGGCTACAGACCTTACCTCCTCAGCACTTTACCGCTTGCGAGACCATATGAAGGTATGACAGGCGAAAATAGGGACCTATTCTGTCAAGAAGGCCGCTCGCACGGCATATGTGGTCGCCGAGCGACAACACGCAGCTCGTTACGACGTATCCATGACCTTCCCAACGAACGGTGTGCGTGAACGATTTGTGGCGTAGGCCANGGCAGTGTGCACAAAGTTGCAAAGAACATACTATGAACGTGGAATACCTCTTTAGCGTCACTTTGCTGCTTCTGTAGAAACTAACGATGTTCAGAACCTCTCGTACGAGGGCATTCTGTGCAGGGCTAGGCCACTTTTTTCTTAGCACCTTTTGGAACGATATCCATTTCAAATTAACACCCTAAAATAATCTTGAGAAATACTTTTTCAATAAGGTCTTTGTGTTACTCCCTTGAGCGTACCTGAATTTGTTGATCGAGATCTAAAAACCGTACGGTCACTAGAAAAATTGTGTCATCGTGAATTACAGGAACATAATGCAAATGACCAATGTTGTCCAGTCCAAGTGCTGAACGCATTGCTGACACAGCGTTCATGAGTTTGGAGCGAAAACTAAAAAAATTACCACAGAAAATATCATATGTACTGTGGCGTGAGAGCGCGAAATTCCCGCGCGGGGAACGCGGCACTTTTTTTGTGCGGCAGAATGAGTCGCTCATGATACTAGCTTTTACTTCCCACGCGTGAAGGAATGACTGGAAANCACAGAAAATATCATATGTACTGTGGCGTGAGAGCGCGAAATTCCCGCGCGGGGAACGCGGCACTTTTTTTGTGCGGCAGAATGAGTCACTCATGATACTAGCTTTTACTTCCCACGCGTGAAGGAATGACTGGAAATGATGTAGTACTGACGTTAGGCTTTCGCTGTTATCGTAGTGACTGGGATTCGAGTCGATCAGACCGATGATGTATTGCCAACACCACGACATTTTCAAGAGCCAGTAGTGATGTTCACTTGAAATGGTTGTAACGGCCTCGTCAACCTGAATAGCATTTTTCAAATTGGTCTTAATGGTTACCAATTCAAAATTCACTTACAGACAACATTGGAATGCAGTCATCGTTTGTACACAAAAGTTTTCCATCTTTGTATATGACTGCTGCGAGATAAACACCTCTGAAAAATTCCTTTCATGGCAAGGTACTTTGGAACTGACAATGAGGTCAATGTAACGTCCACAGTTATGCAGACGATTTTGCTAAGTGTTTCCAATTTGGGATGCAAAATATATCCGATCTGGGAAGTTATCGTACTTAGGACTCTAGTCACCCATTCTTAGCCTAGAGCTATTACTTACAAAATACTGATAGTCTTGGGATATCTAGTCTGAGGCACATAATGGAAGTGATAGTCAGAAATATGCAAAAGTGGCGAAGAAAATGCGAAAATCGGCGTATTGGAGAAAGTGGTTAAATAAGGGTTGATGATATAAGTTGCATGAACGGGATATTTGAACGTTTAAATGCGTGTAGTATAGCTGAAGAGGTTGTGGGTGTGGGTCCTAGTGCGATTAGTGCAAGCTCTGCAGCTTCAGTGAGAACGCGGCGTCCACCTTTGGGTATATACGTCGGCTAAGCCAGTTTTGAGGCCATTATTACGCCCTATCTAGCTCGTTTTTCAACGCGACAGTGCTCCTTGTGCTATCCTTTGAGGTCATGGGTTCATCTTAGGGAGAAATCCTAGAAACCATTTTTATCATGGACTGGGATGTTAGGCTACCGAAATGACTTTAAAAACGGGATAGTTCTTAAAGCTTCTTCTCAATACGATCCATTTATTTTTATTTTTATTAAATATTACATCAATGTATTTTCATTTTAATGTTATCGGCTGTTTCATATTGTCAAACAGATGGAAGAATCTGAGAACAATCTCTGGGGCGACTGTCAACAGCGTCCATTCCCGGCTGTGATCGGAAGGTCGACCCACCTTGTTGTGGACTTTAGCAGTTTCGATGTTCCACTTATCACTCTCTTCAATCCGTTCTTCTTCTTTCTCATCATTTCGTCGCATGCAGCGAACACTGAAATGCTTAATATAGGAAGAAGGAACTACCAAGTAGCGATGATCAGGGAAAATCCGGCCCCGACATTTACGTGCTGTCCTTCAAAGATCAATGTTTTGAAATGAAATTTAACATGAAATATCAACCAGATGGTATTATATATTTCTTGTATGGAAATTATTATTGTAAATAAGTGTATTGTAAAGGAGGATAGTGATGTAGTGGCAAGTGGTGGGCATACATGGATGGGCACATGTCGATCCAGGATCGATCCGGGATCAAATCCCGGATCGATGTCTACGCAGGCCAGCCATTCTTTCCATCACCCTGAGTTCGCTTGATCGATAGTGGACCTGTTTGGGGGGAAGAGCATTGTGACTTCTATAATATTGGGTTGTAACATAAGTTCGTAGAGTTTTGCGTTGGAGTTATTCTGCAACGATTTGTTTTGTTTTTCAGCAAAGTGTATACATTCATTCGAAAGAGCTTTTTCTCCTCTACAAAACTGTTTTATCCGTTTTTTGGGGAGTTTAACTGTTCGTCTTTTTTCTGGCTCAGAAATGGAATATCTAGGAGGAAAAAA